AGGTCATAGGAAACAGAGGAGCACAGAAAGAACTGTTCAAGGGACAGACAAGGTCTCGGCTGTGTTGCCAACAGGATTACTCAGTAATGCTTCATGGACAATGGTGGGTAAGTCATCACCCAGGGCATATCCTGATTTAGGCACCAGTGAGTATGAGAACGCAAGCAGCGTCCCACAACAGTTTGCCAATGGTAAGCAACTATTGCTTACCATGGTGAGAGTAGTGTTGGTGGGAAGGGGTCTTGTGGAAACTGGTGTGGTCAGGAATATAAAAAATGCTAAATAAAAAATATGCTAAATCCCCACTATGCTTACTAAAATACTAAATATATAATATGTCTTTACATGGGTATGCAGGCACAGACATTATACATATAAATCTATGGAAACAGAAATACACTATATTGTTGAAAATTCTGACTGTGGTAGGAAAGAAAAAGTGATTTAGCAACCAACACATAACTACACCATTCTCAACTATGAGACTGAAGTTGTGGTAGTGAGGCTAAAATGGGAAGGAGAGATTGTTTCATAATATGGGAAGAAATCAGGTTTATAAGTCTTACACCATTTACTATGAAATGAAATTTATCGTACTGAATAACATTTGAATTCCAATTCTAGGCATATACTCAATAAATTCTATGTACAGATTCCAGAAGACTGTCTATGGCCACACCCTTGAATGTGTCCAATTTCCTCTGATCTCAGAAGCTAAGGTCCTGGTTGTTACTTCGGTGGGAGATTCTATGAAATCATGTGTAGGCATGCCCTCAGTGGGACCCAAAAGGAATGGAGAAGAGAGGGATCATCTCATATTGTATTCACAAAGACACAAAATGTTTTTATCAAGGGTATAGCAATGTAGACAAATTCTGGGTGGAGAATGATGATTCACTGACTGGTCAGGTAGAGGGATGTTTGAAGAAACAAAACTAGAAGGCTATTACACAGATCTGCCCTTGGGCTGGGCCTTGATTCCCACACCTGTAATCCTACCAGTCTGGGATGCTGAGGCGGGTGGATTGCTTGAGCCCCGGAGTGTGATACCAGCCTTGGCAAGAGTGTTCTATACTAAAATAGAACAATTAGCCAGGTGTTGTGGTGGGCACCCATAGTCCTAGCTGCTCCAGCAGCTGAGGAAGAGGATCCCTTGAACCTCAGATTTGGAGGTTGCTGTGAGCTATGAT